CCAATCCCACTGGGTTACCCCAGCCACTCTGGGCAGCTCCAAACAAGTTATTAAAAGCATAGTAAAACACCAACCATCAAAAACTTCCCTGAACAGGGCTGCCTTCAGATGTCTTCCAAAAGTCTAATACAGTACTTTTACTTTTTTAAACGATTGGGTGTGTCTGTGTGATCCTGCTGGAGAGTGGAGCTACTAAGGAAAGAGTCAACCTTCCCTCATAACTGCAATCTCCAGGAAAATTGCTCCTCTTCCCCTCCCCCCCCCCCAAAAAAAACAACAATTAGGCTGGAAGAAAGAGCTAAAAATTATTTTTCTTTTATTGAAAAGTGGGGGGTGGACTGAACACCCCACTCCACCTCACCCCTTTTATCCAACCTGAAAGTATAATTCAGCTCTAAACAATAATAGCAAAATTCATACAAACACTGAAGTACAGAGTCTGAAAGTTGCTGATGGAGAAGTATAAAGGAAAATGTTAACACAACCATATATTATGGAATGCAGCAGGTACAGTTTGTCCTGCAGAGTCTTTGTTCATGTGCTGGATGAATGGCCACCACTCCACCATAAAAGTCTCTCGGGCTTTTTTGCCCTTTAACCACAAAAGGTTTTTGTGTCAATTTTTCAGAAAGTGCTATGTCCCAAATTACATCAAAACCTTTTTGTGCATTTAAACCCTTTGCTTCTCTCCAGTTTCTAGCTAACAATATTCTTGCTGCTATTAACAAGTAAGCATTTAATGTTTATATAGTAATTACTTGGTTGTCTCTACTGACTATACCCAATAATACAACACCAGGAGGTTTTTAAACAGATCTTTCAAACGTTTCAAATATCTCATCCCAGAAATGGGCAACAAAAATCCCCCCAGCCTTATTTCAGCAAGGGAGGCATGGAGATTGGGTGCTGCCAATGCCAATGCCAGGGAAGGCCTCAGTGGGCATATGTGAACTCATGGGTGACACGCTGGATTCTGTGAAATAAGTCTACACCAAAAGAAGCAAGTATTTCCACGCCCCATTCACTCCCTTACCATGCATAACCCACCCATGTATCCCTGATAGGGAGGTGAGAAAATCCCAACTGAAACAGAAATGAATGAGGAAATTGCTGCTGTTTGCATATTTGCTAGTTGCCACTTCATGCAAATGCAAGTGGCAGTTGTTGACACCAATTTTCAAAGTTGTGAATATCTACCAGTACGTTTCCGAGCCCAATTCAAAATGTTGGTGCTGACCTTTAAAGTCCTAAACTGCCTCAGCCCAGTATACCTGAAGGAGCGTCTCCACCCCCATCATTCTGTCCGGACACTGAGGTCCAGTGCCGAGGCCCTTCTGGCGGTTCCCTCACTGTGAGAAGTTACAGGGAACCAGGCAGAAGGCCTTATTGGTAGTGGCACCTGCCCTGTGGAACAACCTCCCATCAGATGTCAAGGAAATAAACAACCACCTGACTTTTAGAAGACATCTGAAGGCAGCCCTGTCTAGGGAAGTTTTTAATTTTTGTTGTTTAAACGCTTTTTTATTTTTGTTTTTGGTATTCTGTAGGGAGCTGTCCAGGGTGGCTTTGGGAACCCAGCCAGATGGGTGGGATATAAATAATAAATTGTTGTTGTGATGATGATGATGTAACTTGCATACAATTTACGGTACTTGAAGGCAAGCTCCATTGAACCCAGTGAAATGTACTTCTAAAAATGCATAGGATTGCCCTGTAAATCTCACACATAAGACTGGGTTTTTGACTTTATGTTCCCTAAGAAAACATGGCAGTATTATTTGCATGATTTACATGAAGACCCACCATTAGGAAATACACACATACACATAGGATTGCAGTTTGCTATGCAAAATGTGAGAGTAACAAAACAGGAAAAATACATTTCTTTAACAGATATGTATCGGGACAAAACGTACAACATTTTTAATCCCTGATGCCTTACATTGCATCTTTGCGACTGGTTTCAATTGCTGTAAGCCTCTTTGGAAGCTAACTTGACTTAAAGGATGGAGCAGAAGTGAGATAAGTGAATTAACAAATGAATGTAAGAAAAGGTTCTAAACTGAATAGCCAAGTCTGATGCTGCTCCAGTTAATCTCAGTCAACTGGGGGTGTGGACAGCATGCATACATTCTTTCTATCATTTCAATTTATTCCACTGAGCCTGACTATGCTCATGATGGGAGCAGCAACAAATAAACCCTTATATGCTAGTATGACCCTCATATCTTCCCTTATCACTCTGGGAAGCTTTTCAAAAAGCTAAAACCTTTGCAACAAAATTGAAGCAAGAAGCTTATAGTAAAACAACTTAAAAGTTCCATCAGCCAAGTCAAAAGTTGAAAAGAGGGTCTCTCTTGCAGAGCTTTGCTTTGTGCAAGTGTTATATAACAATCCTCAGAGTTTGGCTGTAGTCCTGTGCATCATTATTTGAGAGGAAGCCCCATACGATTGAGATGGAAATTATGAAAATCTGATCCCTATATTCTAATCAATCATAATTACTGGTGGGCAGGTTGATGTCATTATGGAATCAGGCAGCTGTTTTATGACTGTGACTGTATAAATTTGGATGAAAGTTTGGATATGGCCAAATCTTAATGTGTGAAAGAGCTCTGAAGTGCATTCTTGGTAATATGGTGTGTTTGATTGCTGCACTGTGCAGAACAGCATCACGCATCAGGATACATCATTCTCTCACTTGCCATTGTGACGTGTACTTGCTTACAGACAACTCCAACTCTCCAAAGGTCTCAGACGTTGGTGCAAAGTCTCCTGGGATGGCACTTGCAAAGGCTCATGGCATTGCTAGATGCTGTTTTCATGCCATTTTTGTGCTCTTATAGGACTGTTTTTGCCCCTCTTCATGTCACTTCCAGGTTTGTGACAATGCACGCATGTGTGGTCACATGTGTCTTGAATGAGCATAAATGGGGAGTTGCCTGTACACTACCCATATAAAGATGCTGGTCTCAGGATTGTACCAGAGGCAAAGTGTTTGGGAGACAGAACTAGGACAGTGCTTTTCTGATTTAGCCTTGTGGCATCTTTGGACCTCTGTATCATACAAGACAATCTCAGCCTCAGAGAAGGAAGCTTATTTGAAGCAAATTAACCACTACAGTAAAATTATATTAACCCATCCCTAACACCTGAGCACGAGAGGTCTGAGGGACTGCCTACACAGTTGGAGGACTGTGTGAAAAGGACTACTGTGATAGGGCACCGAAGGAGGATAAACCCTCCTAGTTTCAGCTTGTATCAGAAGAATTTTTTTAAAAAATACAAAAAGGACTTATTCCGTGAAAGAATGAACACTCACACTTTACATTGTGGGTGCCCTTTGTGAGATTGCACGCAGTCCTACAGTTCCCAGGGAGCTTAATGGCAAACAGTGGCTGGCCTGCCTCTCAGTGTTAATATTTGGAGGTTCGCGCCCAGACTTGGTAGTCAAGTTTCTTGCTGGGAGGTGGGGCCAGCCCCATTTATAAATAGGGGGTGCAGCCAACAGTAGCCAGGCAGTCGGTTCAGGAGATTCACCCACCCTACCCTCCCTTAGTTTAATGTTTTCTTGATTGCAGGTCAACTTTTTCTTCCTGTTTAGTGAGCGCTGCTGTGGTCTTTGACTGGTTGCTGTTGAAGGACCAGAAAGAAATTTTCCTGCATTGGCAGGTTTTGTCTTCCCAGTAGCAATTTGTCACAACTTGGGTGGTTTATGGTCTTGGGTGGAATCCTTTAGTCTTTTCCTCCCTATAATGGGGGGGCGTGAAGTGGTGACTCACCCCCCCCCATGGCACCAATTCCAGGGTCCCCTCTTAAAAGGGGTTATATATATATGGGTGTCACTGGCCATACACCGAAAAGTTGTCAGTGAACTACCCTGCATGTGAGGATATGGGCTGGGCTGCCTGCGTACACATACGTCTCACAGTGTACCCCTATATCACATTTACCCTATTATGCCCCAGTTCCCCCGGCCAGGGGGCTGGGAGGGATACACGCCCAAGGCCTAAGCCAAGGTCTTCCTACATTTGGAAGTTTAATAAAGTTCCAGCCTAATTTTAATTCCATAACACGTTGTTGGAGTCTTTATTCCTTTCTTATGATCCCTGGGGGCTGGAGCTGTCGCAGCCTGATCACGCAAACTAATCTTCCTCAGAGACAAGGCAGCTTATACCAAATGTTAGAACGAGGAAGACTAGGTTATAGAAGAATGACTAATTAACTGGTAAAGGTCAAGATTATTATGACAAAGGGCAACTTTTGTGGACTTCCAGAAAGGGGGCTTCCAATTTGGAAACTGATCCCAAAAGGTTATAATGAACACATTCTTCCAAATATAATTCATTTATTGCTGCTGCTGGGGAAAGAGATATGGCTGAAAGGTGAGTGCTTCGATCCAGTGAATATCTATAAATGTAGGGTGCTGGAAAACAAGCATACTGTATTTGCACCAAGCCTTGCAATAGGGGAGAGGACGGGTGGTCCCCCCCCCATTGCAGCTTAATGGAAACCACTCTCATTTCCATTTCCCAAACCAACAGTGAACCAAAACAACAATATTTTTGTCTGTAGCGGTGTCTTAGTCTTAAGTCTGGAAAATATGTTGAATTTCCTATGGATTGTTTATTAATTATTAATTGTTTCTTATGGGTTGTTATTTTTGTGCCACTGCTTAATGCCAAAATAAGCTTCTAAAACAGTTTACAAAATATAAAAAAATCCATTATACAGACATTAAATTATAAGCATCCATAATTAAAACACACAATAAAACAATCATATTAAGGCAACACTGCAACTGAAACAGGAGACTCAAATTGAGAAATCAAGGGAATTCCCAAAGTGGTTTAACAATCAATCTCTCTCCCCAGGGAATGTGGGAATTGTAGCTCTCTGTGGGGGAATATGGATCTCCTAACAACTCTCAGCACCTTTAACACACTGTAGGTCCCAGGATTTTTTGCAGGAAGCCATGACTTTTAAAAGTGGTACAGTAGTGCTTGTCAAACAGATAGCTCAGTCAGTAGAGCATGAGACTCTTGACCCCAGGGTTGTGGGTTTGAGCCCCAAATTGGGCAAAATATTCCTGCACTGCAGGGGGTTGGACTAGATGACCCTTGGGGTCCCTTCCAACTCAACAATTCTATTATTCTAGATTCTGTGACATGTATCATACAGATGGGGCCTAAGTGAGCATAGAACTACAGCACTGCAGTCTTTTTTTCCCTTTCTTTCTTTCTTTCTTTTCTTATTTTACAATCTCCATATAAATACAAAATGTAAGCAATAAAAATATAAATTAGACTTGATATTGAAAAACAGATTGTGACTCCTCATCAGTTGAACTACGCTCATCCTCATGTCAAGCGTCATGCAGAAAAATGATTTCTGATAATGAAAAGATAGTATTCTCATGTCAGCTGCAGACAGAGTCTTTATTTATCACAGATTCATATATAGCTTCCTCATTCTACTATTAATCAGAATAAGGAACAAACAAAACAATTATTATGTATATATAGTTTAGCAACAATCTGAAGAGAGTCCTGTCCAGTTCTAGAGGTTGGGTTTTGGTGAGTTTTGGTTGTATGTTTTTGTCACAATTAGCAATTGTAGAATGGAAGGTTTATTATGGTCCATTTCCCCAAGTAATCAATGGAAACTGGCTGTGGTTCACAGTGAAGTCCCAGGAGATTGCACATTGTCCACTGTTAAATTCACAGCTGTTCCACTTAATCCATTGATGGCAGGCAGTTTTAAAAGGACCTTTTATTTATACCTCATTCATCATTCTTAACGTTTTGTCAAATCCATGTTGAATACTTCAAGGTGGACAAATAGACCAAGGCTAAAGTGTCTGCTTTGCTGCCTCAGCGTATAAATTCCCTGTGCTCCCCTCCAGAATGGCACTCAGACCAAACCATATTTTCTTACACTTCACATTTATGTTAAACCATTTTCTCCTGACCTAGAAGGTGACGCTGCTAGAGATTTAGTGGGAACGTTGTAATTTCACCATTCCTGGACAGGTTTCTGGAGGATCTTCCCCCCACCCACCTCTTTTCCCTATATAACTGCGTCTTGTGCATCCTTGGGAGAAGCAACCTACCATTTCACTGAAACCAAACAAGATTAGATTGCCTACAGAATTTGAGTGCCCTGTTGGAAGTCTACTGAAAAAATCAAGTAAGGCTTCCATGGACCTTGGATCAACTTTGTGATGGAGCTTCTTAATGCCTCCTGGGGGGGGGGGTGGACCCTTGCATGAGCAAAGGTGCCTTATAGTGAGTTAGACCATTGAGACATCTAGCTATTTTCAGGAAACCGATTATACCGGTGGTAGATTATATGTTATGTATGTAGAACATGAGTGGGGAACCTGTGGACCTGCAGAAGATGCTAGACTCCCATCATCAATGAGTTGGCATGGAACAACATCTGGAGGGCAATAGGTTGTCCATACTTGATAAAGAAGAAACCATTTCAACCCCACCTCCCATCTTCAGTGAAATGGTAAGGGAGCAGGTGATAGAAAAGGCTTCTGCCAGAGACTTTGGAGAGTTGTTACCAGCTGAAATAGGCAATTTGCAGCCAAATAGACCAAGGACAGCATTCTCCAACCTGGTTTTGGACTACAAATCCCATTACCCTCAGCCAGGATGGTCAATGGTGAGATACTGGGAGATGTGGTCAACAACACCAGGCTAGATCCTTCAACCCAGATAGAAGTCTGTGATGACTTTACTCAAGGGTCCTGCAGACTCTTCTCCAAATACAACACTGAGACAAATATAAGTTTAAGTCCCCTGCCCCTGCCTCTCTATTGTGCTGCTCGCTCTCCTCCCCTAGTCATATTCCCCATTTTTGTGTTTGCAGGTAAGATAAGAGTGTTCCAAGTAAGGATGGGCAAGTTTTGGTTTCTCTCAGTTTCTAATTGTTCCAATCTGAAATTCAGTTCTACACGTTTCCACATCAGTGTGAGGGTATGTTGTTTTTTAAGTCCTCATGAAAATTAATCAGGATTTTAGTACAAATTTATCCTAATGTGCACATGTTAGTATGCATTTTTCCCAATGTACACATTTTTGCAAACCAATATAAGTCTATTTTCCCCTATATAATGTATTTATACACATTATTTTTCACCAATAAATGTGTGTTTTTATGCATCCTTTAACCTAGTGCATGCATTTGTTAAAATATGTGCAAAGGTAAAGGGACCCCTGACCGTTAGGTCCAGTCGTGACCGACTCTGGGGTTGCGGCGCTCATCTCGCTTTATTGGCCGAGGGAGCCGGCGTACAGCTTCCGGGTCATGTGGCCAGCATGACTAAGCCGCTTCTGGCGAACCAGAGCAGCGCACGGAAACGCCATTTACCTTCCTGCCAGAGTAGTACCTATTTATCTACTTGCACTTTGACATGCTTTCAAACTGTTATGTTGGCAGGAGCAGGGACTAAGCAATGGGAGCTCACCAAAAGCAATGCTAAAAGAAAGAATTCTGATGAAGGAGCAGCAGTTTCTCAATTGCAAATCTCAATTGCAAACTCTGCCTTTACTGAAAGATATCTCTTCGCATAAGGGGGCTCAATCCTCTCCAGCAGTCTTTTACTCCCCCAGAGTAGGGAAACATTGATTGTATTGGGGTTTCTGCAATGGAACCCTCTGAGTCAGAGAATTGCACTGGTACCATGGATTCATCTTGAGGACATGCTTCCAGGTGCACAGGTCCCTCTCAGACTCAAGTGTCTCCCAAGTGATTGCAATCATGCTAATTGCAGCCCCTGTAAGAACAGTTCCCAAGGGAATGTGTCTAATTTCACACCAACCATGTCAGGCTTTCCTTCATTCATCAAGCCCAATATCATCTACCCTGAGAATCAGCAGCTATTCAGAGGTTCAGCACAGTGCACTTTGGGAAGGATCATCCCTGAGTGGAAAGCAGTTGCCTTGCATGGAGGATGTTCCAGATTCAATTCCCAACATCTCCATTAAAGGGGGATGGGAATACGTTGGCAGGCAGTGGTGGTTTATGCCCACTGTGACTAGTAGGGCAGCAGGCAGGGAGGCCAAACAGTATGTGAAGCCAGAACCAATGACAGGCAGCAAAGCCAACTAATTCCGGGCTTGTCCTATCATCCTGCCTGCTGAGTTCTACAAGGGTAGTCCTGAGCCAGAGATGAAGGAGGAGGAAGCTGATGGGCAGCTCCCATTCCTGGACTGGATGTAATTAATTAAGACAGGCTGGTGGGGGGCAGCTGAGTTCAGTAAATTGAATGTTTTCCCCATAACCTGCCATCTCATCCTTAAAAAAAGATACCTGAAGTGCTAGAATTTGAATCTGGGACATTCTCCATGCAGAGGCAGATACGCTTAGCCTAGGGATAGGGAAGAAATTTGATTCTGTTCACATTTAAAGCTGAATCTAACAAACCTGCACTTTCTGAAACGATATGAGAATTGGAACACGGCCATCTTTCGATGTCTGCACTTACTGAAATTTCGTGATGCAGTTCTCCAGCCAAACAATGTTTATAGAAATGCAAGTATTAAGGGCATGCAAGGATAAATGTGAGTATACTTTTAAGGGCACCTCCCATATATAGGTCAGGAGGTCAGGTTCAAGCAGGAGCTGGGGTTAGAAACCAGACTGAGAAAGTAGCTAAAGGAGAAAAGACTTGTTGTACATAGTTCTTTAATAACATTATTTCTTATTCAATCCCTTTGATCTGCTCTTCATTTAAACAGAGAATGTAACAAGGGAGGATGAAAATAACATACAAAAACACATATTAGGAAAAACTGCTTGTAAAAAAATGTGCAGACAAAAATGTACTTAGAAGAAATTTGCACTAAGATGCTGAAGAATTTTCATGATTTTTTTTTTTAAAGCAAATTGCTGCAGAAATATAGGCAACTCGATTTAAGATTGGAAACAATGAGAAACAAAATTGACAGATCCCTCCATCCATAGCTGAGGCCATAAAGCTGTGTCAGATTTAAGAGGTTCTATATCATTACCAAAACAATGTGTATCATTCTAACAGAAAGGACTATAAAAATAATAAACTTTTATATTTGCACATATACTGGTGTGTAGGCAAGGATGCAACTAAAAGCTAACAACCTAACTGAAACATATATCTTGCAATAATACCTTTAAATGAAAATGCCCTATGACTTCTTACTTAGCATATATGAGAATGTGTAATGTAGAGCAACACAAGAGCAGCTAAGCACACTGTTTGGCACTTATGATGTGGAAAAGGGAACACAACATGAACTGGGTGTGTTCTGTTCAGGATATAAAATTTACAATTCCTTTGTGATTTTTGAGAGCAATATCAATGGAGGTTAGGAATGTTTTGAGTGTGGGGGTGTATTTAGACCCCCCCCCAATACCCATACCCACACCCACACATAAACTGAGGCCCCAAACTATAGTTTACTTAGCACAGACCCTCCAAGTGTCCCTATTTTCCAGAGAAGTCCCTGGTTTCTGATTTGATCCCAGAATGTCTCACTTTTCCTTAAAAGGTAAAGGTACCTCTGCCCGTACGGGCCAGTCTTGCCAGACTCTAGGGTTGTGCGCTCATCTCACTCTAGAGGCCGGGAGCCAGCGCTGTCCGCAGACACTTCCGGGTCATGTGGCCAGCGTGACAAGCTGCATCTGGTGAGCCAGCGCAGCACACGGAACGCTGTTTACCTTCCCGCTGGTAAGCGGTTCCTATTTATCTACTTGCACCCGGGGGTGCTTTCGAACTGCTAGGTTGGCAGGCGCTGGGACCGAACAACAGGAGCGCACCCCACCGCGGGGATTCGAACCACCAACCATACGATCGGCAAGTCCTAGGCGCTGAGGTTTTACCCACAGCGCCACCCGCATCCCCCACTTTTCCTTAGGATGTCCCTATTTTCATTGGACAAATGTTGGAGGGCATAGAGTTATCTGACCTCTGAGCCCTCTGAAAACAATCCTGCATAGGGAAGTTTTTAAATGTTTCATTATGTTTTTATATATGTTGGAAGCTGCCCAGAGTGACTGGGGCAACCCAGGAAGATGTGTGGGGTATAAATATT